CCCCCGCCCGCAGCCGCACCGTGCGGTTGTAGTACTGGGAGATGACAGCGCCCCGGCTGCGGCCTGCGGGGACAGCTGGGCTGGGCGGGGCGGGCCTCACCCCCAGAGAAGACAGCTTCCGGCGCCTCCCCACCCTTCGCCCCTCCCAGGGCCCAAGGAGACCCCGTCATTAGAGGCTTTGGCCACCACTGCCTTCTCAAGAGCCTATTTTTACCCCGTGGTGACTCTCGAGTCATTTTTAGAGCATGGCCAGTGGCAGGGGCTATGCCGGGCCCCTGGCAGCAGGCCAACCGGGGGTGGGTCAGGGGGTGTCCAGGAGCCTCAGGGCCGGGCTCTGAAGGACACGCTGGCCGGCCCAGGGCAGAGGGTCCCACTCACCGATGGTGCGGCTGGGCATGCTGGCCAAGATGCGAAGCGTGGCCGTGGCGAGGCGGGGCCGGGCGGTAGGCAGGGGCAGCCTCGGGCCCGGGGACGGTCAGCAGGCCAGCGCCTGTGTGCAAGGAAGACCGGCCAGGTCCTGGAGATGCCTGGGCCAGCCCCACCCCACGCGGCCTGCAGGCTGCCTGGAGGGGGTGTCACAAGGCAAACACCAAGCCCTGTTCACAGCCCGTGGCACCCGGCCCGGCTTACCTGGTGGCCCCTGTGTCCTGGCAGCCGGCTCCCTGGGCTGCAGCTCCAGCTCCTCCTCAGCCCAGAGGCTCTGCTCCTGGATGAGTTGGCGGAAGGAGTCGTGCACCTCGCTCTCATCATAGGGGCTGAGCTCCTGGCTGTGGCCATGGGGTGGGGACTCAGGCTCCAGCCCTCTCCCGGCAGCCTGTCCCCATCCATAGGCCAGGGCTCAAATGGCCTCTCCCTGGGGACACGACATCCATTCCACCAGTGTCCACCCCTGGAGCACTTACTCCTGGTCCCCTGGGCTCCCAGGAACATTCAGGACAAACGCCAGCGGCTCCGCCATGCCCACACCCGGCCCCCAGTCAGCCTGCAGGCCGAGGGCAGCTCAGAGTCCTGACGCCACGTCCGGAGCCTCGCACTGCCCATCTGGGGGGACAGGGAGCGTGGAGCCGACATCGGCCTTCAATGCTGGCACACACCCAGAGTGCCCGCTCCCTTGGGAACCATGGGCGGTGGCACACAGCCCAGACTGCCTGAACTCCCTCCCCCCGGACCCCGTCCCCACCCACAGGCAAACACGGGTCAGGTGAGTGGTCCTAAGTAAGCCTCTTGCTGAATGGTTGAGCAGGGGGAAGGGAGGAAGGGCGTGGGGCCAGCAGTTCCCCCTGGGTCCCCAATGTGGCCTGTCCCTAGGAACGGGGAAGGGGTGGGGTGCCTGTGGCCTCCATCCCCACCAGGGTTCTGCCCTGACACTGTCCCCTTGAAGGAAAAGGTCAGGGCTGCCAGCAGACCTTCCGCCGCCCTGAACCCGCCACACTTCCTCCACAGGAAATCCTGGCAGCCAGCCCTGGCGGCCCCAGCGCCGGCCCCCAGCACCAGCCCCAGGGCCTGACACAGAGCAGCAGGCAGGACTGGCTTGCTGCCCCCACCCCCCTCCCCATACCCATCACTGCACCCCACCCTGCTGGCTCCCAGCGGCCTCTCCCACATTCCATCACCCCAGGGCAGCGCGGGGGCGGGGCTGGGCCTTACACAGGCCCTTTGTCAGCTCTCCCCGCACTGCAGTGGGCACAATGGGCTCCCGAGCAGCCACATCTGGGCCCTGGCCTCCTGGTCTGCCCACCCCGGAGTGGGCAGGATGACAAGCTCCCAGCCCCAGCTGAGTCCTGCAGGACTGAGGCCTAGGCAGGTCCTCCCCACCCTCACCCCCAGGGAGCTGCAACTGGAAAGCTGGCTCCACTCAAGGGTGCGTCCTGCAGATGGGGCAGGCTGCCCAGCCAGAGCAGGGCCCTGTAGAGCTGCTGGCCTCGGTGCCCAGACAGTGCCCAGCCAGTGCCCTTGGACCCCAGGCTCCACCCAGACCCAGCCCCTCCCCCACGCTCCTGCAGGAGCAGCGTGGGGACACGGGGCAGAGGTGGGCCCCACACACTCAGCCTAAAAGAAAAATAACCAGAGGCGAGGCCGAGGGGACTTCCCGTCCAGTTTCTAACTGGACAGTCCCCTAAGCAACATCCAGCGGCCTCTGGACACACCCCCTTCCCCACCCGGAGGCAGGAGGTGGGAGTGGAGGCAGGAAGCGGAGGGTATGGAGGTGCCCACGGAACCGGGACCACGGGAGCTCACCCAGCAAGTGAGGGCATCCACGCCCCGGTAGCAGCACGGCGCGGGTCCCGCGGAGTTTCCGGGGACACCACTCCTGAGTCCTGAGCCAGGTGGGGAGGGGCAGGATGAGGGCGTTTCCAGGAACCCCCACCCCAGGCCCGCAGCAAGCTGCTACTCAGCAAGAGCTGCAATCCAACACGGGTGGGAGCCCCTTCGCCCCTGCCCATCAGCCTCGCACCCTGCCCGCCTCTGCCCGCCTCTCGCGGCCAGAGCCACCCACTAGCGCCCGGCCTCCGCCCCGTCCAGGCCGCTCCGGCAGCCCCCCACTCCCCGCCTCCTCAGCGGGGCGGTTTCCCGAGACTGCAGCCCCGCTCCACTCCCAACCCTGCTCCAAGCCACAATGAGCCCCCGGGAGACCCAGGAGAAGGGGGACCTCGGCGGAGGAGCGGCCCTGAGGCCGACAGGAATTGGGAGGGCGGAGCTGTAGGGGCAGGGAGGACCCCGGGACCCGCGCGCTGGGACCCGCAGGGCAGGGCGCCGCCCCCACACGGGCGCCGCGCGGGAGCCTGCACCAGGGTCCAGGGACACTCACCCGGGAGGGGCCTACGGCCTGGGCCTGCGAGCAGCTCACCTGTCCCCCGCAAGGGCCGCCGGGAACTGCGTCCTGACTCCACCACCTGAGGGCGGGACAACTGGCTGCGACCTGAGCCCACGTGGCAGAGCCTAGGTTGTCACGTGACCCAGGCACCAAGCACCACTGAGCTCTCCTCCGCCCACCCAGAGGTCTGAGCAGGGTGAGAGCAGCACCCTCTGGACCTATTCCAATCTCTGGCTGAAATGCCCAGGTCTTGCGGGACTCAGTTTCCCCCAGTTTCAAAGACCCAACCACTTGGCAGGGTCAGCTAGGGACGCAGGTGACAAAGGCCCACGAGTGGAGCCTTTCCGCCCCAGGTTGGGTAACCCCTTCCTCTGGCCAGCCTCCACTCACACCCTGCCCGCCCTGGGCGTGGTCTCTGCTGTATCTGGTGAGAATTGTGCACTTCCCGTGCGCAGGGGGTGGAGGCGCACAGGGACAGGTCAGCCTTGGAATGTCGGGCCTGCAGCCATGGCTGCATTCTCGTTCTCCCCTCACAAGCCAGGAAGGCAGGCACTGGCTTCCTGTGTCACAGATGAGGAAACTGAGGCTGAGCACTTCATCAGCCCAGGCGTGAGTCTGGGCCCATCTGGAGCCGGTGCAGGAGCCGGACTTGGGGAAAGCCCCCAGGAGCCCCTTCGGAGGGGCTGGGGGCACTTCTGGCCGGAAGCCCTGGGGAGGGCAAAGGCAGGCTGGGCGAATGCAAGCACGCCTGACTGCGGGCCGAGAGTGGGACAAAAGAACGGGCTAGTGTAGGGGCCTGTTTGCAGCTGTCAGTGTGGTGCGTAGGTGAGTGGCCTCAGGCTGGTTCTGGGCAGGTGGCACCTTAGCATAGAGGCCCAGCCCTGCCCAGCCTCTGCCTCATCCTATTGCTTTACTGTCCCTGCATACCCATGCTGAACACCAGGCCAACGTGAAGGCCACCTCCTCTGGGGAGCCCTCTCAGATTCAACTGAGTTGGCGCTCTTAACCGCTTCCTATTGATATGTGTGTTTGGGCACTGCCCCAGCCTGTGGGCTGACACAGGAGGGGCTCTGGACACAAGAAAGGAGGCAGCAGGGAGGCAGAAAAGCCAGCTGGCAGCTTGAGATGGCCTGCAGCTAAGGAGGGGGGGTGCAGGGGCAGGACAGGGATTCCTCCAATGACTGAGGGCATGAAGCAGTGCCTGGGTAGGGGCCCCCCTGGCCTTGGTGAGAGCAGCAACGGTGACAGAAATAACCCAACGACTGTATGCAGCCCAGCAGCCCAGGGGGAGGGGGCAGGGTGTCCAGTATGTCACTCCGGGCCCTGCAGCAGGCAGATAAGGGCTTGGCCCTGCACCCCGCCTGCAGCCCCTCCCAGGTCGGTCTCCCGGATCAGGCCTGGGCTCCGGGGCTCCCAAGGAAGGGGCTGGCCAAGGGCCCCAAACCAGGTGCCCCGGGGAGCATGCAGGAAGGAGGAGCCAGGGGCCTGTGGGTCAGAACTACCAAGCAGCCCCAAGCCTAGTCAAGCAGGAGCCCTGGTGGGCAGTGGGGGCCCAGCCCAGCCACGCTTGCAGGAGGGTATGGAGCGTCTTGCGCCCCTCACCTGGGCCTGTGTCACCCGGGCAGGAAGTGTGGGCTGAGCCTCCGTTTAGAGCAGAGGAAACTGGGGGAGGGGGTAGTAAGGGAAGTGAGGAGGGAGGACGAGGGGAGGAGAGGTTTGGGGAGCTGGGGTTCCTGTCATGTGACCCCCCTCCCCTGGCTCCTCACAGCCTGCCTGGCAGCCTCAGGGGGGACTGCTCGGGAACTTGGTCGGATAGAGGCAGAGGCCCCGGTGAGGGGGTAAGGAGGACTGAGGGCTGGGCGGCAGCCACGCCCCCTAGGAGCTGTCGAGGTCTGGGAAGGGGCGCGGGGAGCAGAGCCGGCCTGGGCTCGGCCTGAGTCGGTCCCAACTCGGCCCGTTTCACAGGTGGGGAAACTGAGCCCCTGGCCATGGTCGCTCTGAGAGCCGGCGCCGGCCTGGGCGCGGACCCCGGCCCCAGCAGAGTCCCC